AAAGCATTTTCAGATAGTAGGTGGAAAGCCTCATATGAAAATTCTTTACTGCCCCTGAGTGTTACATTCAAGCCACTATGTTAGCATTTTTAGCTGCTGGTAAACTAACTGCCTTTTTCATGAATCAAAACATTGACCTTGTGACATCAGTATCTCTTGTCACTTAAAATTATTGCTGACGATTTTAACTGCCAGCCAACTGGGAAAACCTTGAAAGAAACAAATGAGAAGTTTCCAGGAATATAAAGTGGAGGCTACTCTTCATATTCCACCTGTCTTCTCAGGAAAAATAGTAGCCTAGCTCTTAAGCAGCTGGATGAGGAATGAAAGCTAGCTTAGTTAATAGCTTGCTGCAGCTTCGTCTCAGAGGAGCCTGATATTAGCATGCGGCTGTCTTCGTTTTTAAACACATCCTGCAGTAATAAATATGCTTTATATCCACCCAGGACACACACATATAGGCATACTCATCCTCACTACATACAGTGTATTCTGATTTTTTTCTGTTTCATTTGAAAAAAAAAAAAAAGTGCTGCTGCTACCCACTGTGTTGATTTTACAGTGACCTGTCACATTTTGAAAAGATCTGGTCTGAGAGAACCCAGGCCCTGGCTGTGTGTGGGGGTGCGGAGGAACAGAGAAAATAACCACCCCAAAAGCTAGTTTTAGGGACCATCAGGAGGTCCAGGTTGACTGAGGGGAGGGGCAGGTGGAGAGAGAACAGAAGTGATGTGGCACCGAGCACCCCTGCCCTAGGAGGTGAGGAACAGCGGGGGAGAAGGACCTTTCCATCCAGTCTGAGACACCCAGGCTGAGGCGTTCCTTCTCTTTGCGGAATCTGTTCTCTCCACTGGGCCCGAGTGGCCCCTGTGAGAGGCCGTCCCTGCTTGTGGAGCTCTCAGGGCCTCCTTGTGGTCCTTAAGCTGAGCCCGGATTCCTGAATGGCGTCGAGGGCCATCTGGGTGAGGCCCCTGCTTGACCCTGGCAGGCTCCTCCTGTCCCAAATCACCTTATGACCCCTTGAACAGCACTCTTTTGGCCCTTTTGGGGGCTGTTTAGCCTGGCAGGCTCTTCCTCAGCACCTCGTCCCCCATTCTTCTCCTGAAGCCTCTGCTCTCAGTTTACACATGATTTCTTCTGGGACACGCTCCCTGACCCGTCGCCCTCCTGAGTTTGGATCCGGGCTGGATCCCGTGCTCCCTTAGCGCTCTGCCCGTCCTCACAGCCGGCTGGGTCCCGCCCGGCGCAGGGCCTCGCGCATGAGACACGCAGGTGTCTGCTGAGCCCCTGGGTGTGGTCAGATTCCCATGGCCCTGGGGTCAGTGGCTGGGGCCGTGGGGGCTGACCACGGCCTCGCTTTACCTTTTGAAGGTGATCAGGACGACTGGCTTCATGAAGGGCCTCTACACGGATGCCGAGATGAAGTCGGATAATGTGAAGGTAGGTTGAGGGAGGTCCCCCCTCGCCTTAATAAACGTTTTTTTTTAATAATCTGGGTACTGTGCTGTGTGGCATTTATATGCCGATTATGGTGCGAATACAAGGTCGATTAATTTCTGAGTTGCTGTATACCCTTTCTTTTCATTGTCTCATTTTCAGCAACTGTGTATCATGCTAGTTTTATCCATTGAGAAGTGGAATTAAGTGTTTCCTAGGTTAATGCCGGTGCATCAACTAATGTTAAAAGCTTTACTGAACTGTTTTTGTTTTGTTCTCAAGAGTCAGTATCTTTAAATTTGACATCTAAACTTAGCTTTTTATGTAAACAGGAGCTGTGCATGCCTGTTGAACATACTGAAGGTAATGCAGTTTTTCGAAGTAATTTATTGTTTTGTTGTAAATGGAAATCTTTCAGGATAAAGATGCCAAAATTAGCTTCCTTCAGAAGGCCATAGACGTGGTGGTGATGGTTTCGGGAGAGCCCTTGTCGGCAAAACCAGCCCGCATCGTGGCCGGGCACGAGCCCGAAAAGACAAATGAGCTGCTGCAGAAAATTGGAAAATGCTGTCTCAACAAGGTAACGCTGCAGCTCCAGCCCCGAACCTGCCGGTACTGGAGAGCGGAAGTGGGAGGGGGGGTGCCTCCCAAATGTGCACGAGGTGGTTCAGAAAGGAGCTTGGGATCTGACCCCACCTATTTGGGAACCTCAGAGTTACGGGCAAAGTAACTTCCTAGTGTAAACGACACAGACGCACAAGTTCTACACGCTTCCTAAAACAGGCACTGTGCAAGCTCTTGGCTCTGGGGGCAGGTGCCCAGGGCAGATCCTCGGTTTCCGGGCCCCGTCTACCTCCTGCTCTTGGGCCTCTTCTCAGGGCAGGTGACTGTCGCCAACCAGGACCCGGGTAGATGGAGGCTACCTTTCTCCTCCGGGGCCTGTAGGTCGGCCCTGTTCTCCGCCTGCCTTTCCAGCCTCTGGTGCCTGCTCCCTCCCCTCTCTCTCCCTCCCTCCCTCTCTCCTGATTGTTGTTTGCAGAGCTATGCTGCCTTCAAAGAGATCTTCTGTGAGTTGTACAGGGACTGGATTTGTTACGTCCTGAGATGCCCCCGTGGGCATCTCTGGGTAGATGCAGCCCGAGTCCTGTTTGCTGGGTCAGTGGAGAAGGTCATCCCTAGGGCCTGCCTTCCTTGTGGGAGCTGAGTTGCCCCCAGAGGAGCGGAGCCGGTCCTTTATCAAGGGGCATAGCTAATTCAGCCCCTCGTGTACCCGATGGGCTGTGGGCCGGCAGCGACTCTGTGACGTTCCCAAAGTGGGGAAGGTGGGTTTCAGCCCACACAGCAGCAGTGGGGGCGGGGTGTGGTGACTCCTAGGAGGCCTCAGGATAGCCTCGCCCTGGCCTATGGCCGGCTGGCCGGCTCACAGGCTTGGAGTGCGGAAGTTGATTTTGCCGGCACACTGCTCGCTGTCCTCAAGTCCCACCTGCACCCTCCATGTTGCTCCTCTTTCTGAAAAGCAAATCTGACTCCTGTCTTCTGTGCCAAAGCCACTGCAGCTTCCTGGTGCCTTGGGTGGGGACACCACCAGCGCTGTGACCTGCTGCCACTCCCCGCCCTTCTCTTGTTTCCGCACCTGAGCGAACCGGGGGTGGGGGGGGATGCACACTTGGCAGCTGGAGCAGCACTGAAGCGGATTCGTTCAGTTTTGGGGGGCTCTGCTGTGGACACGGGGGGCGGGAGGTGAGGGTGCCCAGCAGATGCTGTGCTGTGTGGTGACAGCCTGTCCCCTTCGTACTCCCCTCTCCCGATCTCACTGGCAGACAGTCTGGTTAGTGAGCTGCCGTTCAGTGTTACCCTTCATATTTGCTACTGTGCTGACGCCGTTTTCACCTTGCATTTCCTTCTCTCCCATGGGGACAACCAGCTGTCCAGTGAGGATGTGGTGAAGAGAGTGTTAGCTGGAGCGAAGGGGGACGGGAAGGGAAGGCTCTCGCTGGCGCCCAGACCTCCGGAGGCGGACTGCAGGGCTGGGAGAGAGGCACAGCCCCGGGTGCCCAAGGAGAGAGAGGTGAGGCAAGTCGCCCGTGCCGGGGGGGTGACGCGCGGGTCTGTGTGTCGTTCAGGCAGAGACGTTTCTAAGGGATGCTGTTACTTGACCTTTTTTTTTCAGGATAGAAGAAACTCTGAAAAAAACGAGAGAAGTACGAGCAGAGATAGAAAACAGAAAGAAGAATTGAAAGAAGAAAGCAAACCAAGAGAAAAGGAGAGGGACATGGAGAGGACCAAGGAGAATGACCACGACCGACATAAAGACCCCGAGAGAGACAAGCACCAGGAAGGAGAGAGAGAGAGGACCAAAACCAGGGCCAGGCGGGACCGGGACAGGGACCCGGACCGCGAGCGAGAGAGGAAGAACGAGGGAGGCAAAGAGAAGGAGCGAGAGCGAGACAGGGCCCGGCGGAGGGTGAGGGACAGGGAGCACCCCCGGGCCCCCGACAGGGACAGGGGCAGGGAGCACGAGAAGCCTGAGAGAAAGGTAAGGGCCTGCTTGAAAACCTGTGCCTTTCACTTAGAGTTTGTGGTGTTCTCCAAAACGATTTTTGTCTGTATTAGAGTGTGGTTAGGAAACTGGTTTTTTAATCACCAGTATAAAATTATGACAATCTGGGATCCCGTAGAAACCTACAGAGATAGCAGTTTCTCCCAGGCCTGTTAAGGTTTCCTCCGTGCTGTGTGTGCGCGCATTCGGGCATTTTCCTGAAGTTTTGCAGCGGCCTGTACCTCAGCGTCGTGAGCAGCGTCACAGGCAGGCTCGGCTGTGGGGCCGTGGAGCGTGGCCAGGGCTGTGCTTACTAAGGATGAGTGCCCCTGCCCGAGTGTTAGGCGTTAGTGGGTAAGTGCAGGAAGACCTCGGTTTACAGTAACGCTTGTTGAATTAAAGTTTCAGGGAACTCTAGGATTGGCCAGAAAACTCGTTTGGCCTCAAGCAGTGTTTTCTAAGTGTGCAAGTTACTGCGGGCTCACTAGGTGGGTAGTACAGGTGCCCGTTCTCGTGGGGCATCGTGTGATTGGAGTGTCCTGGGAAGGGAGCGGGGACCTTCTGGCCTCCAGCTGCTAGAAAGGACGCTGCCGAGGTCTGTCCAGGTGACGCGGGGCGGTGAGGGCCACGGCCTGAGCTGTGCTCGCAGCCCTTTCCTCCCGAGATGGCGTCGGCTTTGTGGCGTGGCGTCTTGGGGTGAGCTGAGCGCCCTGCAGGAGCCACGCACACTAGACCTTGCTGAGTGGCTCAGTGCATACTTGGTTTGGTTAGTAACCGAGGTCTTCTGCTGGGGGTTTGGGGTCTCCCATGAACCCCCTGAGTAGTGGACCCTATGGCAGATGTCACAAAAACTAGGGTTCCCTTAGGGGTTTGGGAAACACAGACATTCCCCCTTCTCTGCCCTCTTTGAGAGGTCTAAGGAAAAGGGTTTTCGCCGACCTAGTTTTTCTGAGGTGCTGGCCCGCTGTGGTGTAATTACTGTTCGAGGCAGCCCTGAATGGCACGGTCCTCTCAGCTCCCAGGGCCTTTAGATAAGGGCCCCCACCCCTTACGTTCACTGGACTTGCTGACGCTCTGGCGAGTGTTTTAAATAGACAATTCCAAGGAGACTTTCAGGGGGACAGATGGGACACCTGGGAGCCAGGTGGGAGCCATGGTTGTGTTTCCAGGTGTGTGGGACCAGGGATTGTGTTCCTGCTCAGAGATGGTCCCTTCTCCCCGGGAGATTTGGGGCTGGTGTAGACCCGGGCTGCTCACGGGGCGGGTGTGGGAAGCTGTGGGCAGGCGGGCAACCAGGCTGTGCCAGCGCTCACCCCAGTCAGACCTGCCCACTCGCCTCCACTTGGTTTCTCTCTGGAAGTGACAGTGGCCTTCTCAGCCCCCATCTGGGCTTTATGAAGAAAAGGTGAAATGTAGGTGTGAAAGCACTGTGAGAGGCCAGGAGTGGGCCACGTGTGGGGGTGAAGGCCCCAGGCCCAGGTCAGAGCTGCTGTCGGCGGACACAGCGCCCTGTCACCTCTGAGGGGACAGCCAGGGGCGCCGGGGGGCCCTGCGCAGGGCGCCCCTTCATGATTCGGATGAGCATGCTGCACTGGAGTAATGAACAGCCGTCCTGGGCTTTTCCCGAGGAAAGTCTCAGCGGCTGTGATCTCCCCCCGTCATGCCAGAATTGACTCCAGGTGTGAGGTGGTGTGTCGTTTTCAGTCAGTTGTTTTGAGAGTGCTTTCCTGACGCAGCCTGAAGCCTTTGTGTAAACAGGCACCCTGTGTGCAGGTGACACACCCTGGGAGGGGAGGGGGCAGCGTTCCCTAGTGTGGGGTTCTGTTCACCCCTCCCAGCTTCCAGATCCCCTGTGCTTCACCGGGATGTTCACGAGTAGTCAGGCCTGGTGTCAGGATCCCTGTGTGGGGGGACACTGCCTCTGAGCCCTGGCCCCTGGGTGGCCCCCCGGGGAGTGATCTGGAAGGCCCGTGGGAATCCAGGCAGCCTAACGACCACAGAGTCGGATGTGGAGGGTGACATGAGCCTCTTGCGGGAAGGGTTATCTCGCTGTTGGTCAGCAAGAAACATCTAGAATCTTGATGTGCGTTTATATGTGATCTGAATAATTCTAGAATTTGAAGGAAAAATTTTTTTTTATAGTCATCAAGCTCAGGGGAGGTGTCTAAAAAGTTGTCAGATGGATCTCTTAAAGACGCCAAAGCTGAAACAGAGGTAAAAGCTAACTTTTAAAAATACCTTTAAGAGAAGCAAACTCGAGCTGTGTTGAAACAGTAGCTGCTGTGCTGGGGCCTCTCCTGGCCCCCCAGCGGGAGGACGCCCCGTAGGCTCACGTAGGCTCACGGGGTGGAAGTAGTGATTCAGATGGCTTAGCGCCTGGCCATGTGGGCGGGCTGTGCTGTCCTCTGGTTTCCTGTGTTGGACCCCGGGGTTTCTTGACAGCTTCATTTGGCCGGTGTGTGTGATGTATGAAGACATAGGGAAGTCACCCGGGAGCCGGTGGGCGAGGAGAGAGGCACCAGGCAGGCAGGGAAAGGGAGGCCCAGCTGGAGGGACCCCTCCAAGCTCCGCCTGGTCTGGGGGACCCTGCAGTGCATTTCCAGTGGCTGGGGACAGCCGAGGCTGAGCCCCATCATCTCAGTGTCGGCCATCCGAGGGAGGTTAGGCTCATCCCAACTCTCTTAATCCAATTTGCACATCCAAAAGCGCATCCAGGCAGCTGCAGGGAAGAGGAACAAGGTGTGGGGTGGAGGCTGGGAGGCGTGGAGGCAGGTTGAGAGAGGTGGGAGGGGCAGGTCTGCTGCCTGCTCTGATTTGGGCTCAGATGCATTTAAGTCATTAAGCGCATAGCAACAGACGCTGAATCCTCTAAACACGCCTGATAGAACAGTGTTTTCCAAAGTGTGGTTGACAGACTGCTGGACTTTTCAGGGTTCCGTTTCCCTCCAATTTCCCTCTAATTCGCTGTCGGGTTTTGAGAGCTTAGGCCCCCCTGTTGGCATCAGCTCCCCTCTGAAGCGGGTGGGTGGTGGTGGTCTGTTTTCTCCTCTTCCTCAAGTGGAGCTAGAATAATAAGTCTGCTCGTCATATCTGTGTGATGCATCAATTAAGTTTTATCATTCTCTTTTCTTTAAGACTGAGGTTTCCACTAGAACATCCAAGTCATTGACAACAAAGACATCCAAATGGCGATCCAAAACCTCAGTGGAAGGTATGGTGAAATTTAAACAAGTAGCTGAAAATGTGGAGATTTGTGCCTTTGCCTTAATCACAATACCTGGTAGGAAAACCATCCTGTGGCTGGATCTGCCACCGGGGGAAAGAACAGACTGTGTGAAAGTGATGTGCATGTGTGGCTGTCACGTGTGTGAGCTTGTGACACCGGGACAGAATAGGACCTCTTTGCTGGAGAGCAACTCTTAAAGATGCGATCACATTTTAAGTTTTGGAAATATGTATGAGTCATTCGTGTTTCATTGACTCTTGTCTTTTGCATGATAGGCTGAGTCTAATCCTGATGCAGGAGCACCCTGCTCTTAACACAGGTTTTTGTGCCTTTAAAAAATAGCAGAGGTTGTCACTGGGAATTAGGCTAAAGGCTGAAGCTGCCCTTAAAGGGCCTGGCCTGGCGTCGTTACGACAGACCAGTGAGAAGGGAGAGTGTAGGTCCAGTCAGGGCAGGAGGTGCTGTTGGAGGTTTTAATTAAGTATAAAGTTACTTTGAATGAACAGCGGCTTCTGAAAGACCATCCTTTTCATGAATTGTAAAAGCTAAAGAAATATGGCAGGAGGGTAACGTTGTAATTTTCCATTTGGGAATTAAACTCGGATGGTGTGTTTCACTGTTTCACAATAACACATAATGCCTTAATGAACACCTTTGTGCCAGAAACTTTTTCTCTCTTTTGGGTGAGCTCTGCGGGACCGGTCCCCCGAGGTGGGAGTGCTGGCACAGAGGGCATGGCCACTCTGAGGCTTGGCTGCAGTGTGCCTGGGACTGGACCCTCTGCCCACACCCTCGCCCAGGTTTGGAAGGCTTGCTGATGTCGATAGATGAAAAACAGCCGAGGCTGTCTCCCTTCAGTTACTCATGGTTTTTATGCCTGTTAGTAATTTCTATGGACTTCCTGTCTGTCCTTTGCCTGTTCCCTTGTTGCTCTGCTGGGAGTCTCACTCTACTTCTTCTTTTTAAGCCGAGCCATTCTGCCACCTGTTGGCAGCTGTTGGCAGGTCAGCTCGGGCCAGGAATCGAACCG